GTATCGGCCGATACCGATACAAGGAAAAAAAACGCAAATATCTGCCAAAAATATCGGCCGGCCGATGTATCGGCCGACCCCTACATTGTACAATACTGCAATAGATTTAGCTGTTTTTGTTCTTAAGTAATTTTTGAGGTTTTCATGTCAGCTTGTCACCCAGAAACTTCACCTCACTGACTCTACAGATCAACTTTAAATGGAACATCAATGGTTTTCTTTCTGTTACTGATACATACAGCCTTGTCCTTAATGTGAACTTCTTGTTGTCTTTTAGAAGACACCGTGATGTCAGAAAGTACCAGCTCTATGTCAGATTCAACATCGCATGACAACGGTGAGTCAACAAGACAGAAAGTATTTTACAAGGTTTCTGCACCATCTTAAAAAGTCTGAAATGTGATTGTAGTATTGTCAAAGTCTTTCTAAATATGGAAAACATTAGTGTTTCCAGTTTMTGATACCTAAAAGTTACTCAAATAAACTGGGTACTTTTTACTATGACTGTAWAAACAAATGAACTTAGTCATTTTGTCTATTTGTTTTAGATTCTATACCACTCGTCACCAAATTTCAGAAAATAAAATGAGGAATGCTTATGTTTTTGTTGAAATGATTCTGTACTGTCAACAGGGAAAATGCAATGACTTTAATCATTTAACACAAAAGGACAAACAGACCCGTGTACTTTGTAGAAACTTCAATTAAATTTAAATAAATTTAGTCAGGTTTGCACATTTTTGGTAATAAAAATTTTTTTGGTTCTTATTATAAAGTATTTTAAGAAGACATAAAAACTTCAACATTTTCTTTTGAGGTGAAATAAAACAGATCAGTTATTTAAACAATCATCTCTTAGTAAAGATTGTTCTTTATTTTTACGTGATGCATTAAAAATGAAGAAAAATCCTTCTCACATTTAATAAACAGCCTAATGAACAAACAAGGCGTATTATAGAGAAAAAGTCTGCCTTTTCTTGGATGCAATGCATATGTATTTACAAAAAGACTGAGCTGAAATTGTTGACAGTCATGAGAAAGTGGACTACAAATTGCGGTAATTGTTGTTTGTGTTCCCTCTCCTGAAAGACTCCTCGCCGAGCGTAGCAGCTGACCAGCGCTCTCTGTCCCAGCCCCGGCTCACTGTGGGCAGTCCTGACCACAGAATCAGCAGGAAGCTCTCTCCTGTAGAGATTTACTACGAGATGAGGACGCGCCGTAACTCTGTCACCAGCTCTGTTAGGTACTTGTCTGAGAGTGCTGCTTGAGCAAACTGTGTGTGCATCATATAATAAACTGTGCACRTATTGTGCTGCCTTTTTCAGCCCAACCCACTCTTTACCCAGAAGTACTTCTAACGTTGAAGGTAGAAGTGTTCCAGCCACTCCGATGTTGGCCAGAACTGCTCCAATCAGTGTTCACATCAGGTAATGTGCTTTCATCTGAAGCATTCCTGCAGYACACCTCCCTGTCTGCAGTAACTAAACAAATTTAAATGACTCACTGAGTTRAATTTATTCAGACCCAAAGAGCTGGGAAAATTAGTGTCTCCAGAGCCTTTCCTAAAGAGTTGCTGCTGTTCTTTATTGTCCCATAGGTCAGACGCATCAAACAGTAATGGGTTGAAACAGTGGTCAGGCAGCCTGGATGTACCGTATATGATTCCACTGGCTCCAGAGGGCTCCTCTTCAGATCGACGAAGCTGCCCCTACAGCTCCCGAGCGAGGCGCAGCAACAGCTCCGAGGCTCTCCTGGACAGATCTAGCCTCCCAGATGATCCTGAACCCAGGAMTGGTATGCCTCAGAGGGGTGGGCCCTACAAGAGCTCAGAGACCCTGACTGATGGTAAACTGAGGCACATTCATCTGGGAAGCCCAGACAAACACGTGGACAATTCGATGAAGCAGGTTAAAATGCGTCTGTCAATGGGGGGCAGAGGGACCAGTGAAGGCTACAATGACATTTTGATGGACTATATCTGGGGTAAACAGCAGAAGATGCAGGTGCAGCAGCACCTGTATCAGTCMACAGGCAGAATCTGGCAAGACATGTCCTCCCCTCGGTCCTCCACCGCAGCGGCGCCTCCTCAAACGAACGGATTCTCCCATTCCCAGGTSCATCTTCCCAGTGCTGCAACTCCTTACAGCCCCATGGTCCTCAGAGGGTCCCAAGCTGAGCTACGTAGAGTCAAAGTCACCAGGACCAAATCTTGTGGACCTTTTATTCCTTTGCAACAACATCCACARGATGGCATCTTGCTATCAGCGTACAAGTCCCCACTTCCTGCCACTGGCACCACCACATCCTCCATCCCTAACCTGCATCCCTACCAGACTGAGCTGTCCGTTCCCCCCTTCAGCCGTAGACCCCCCCAGTTTTCTCTCCCAACTCCAGAAGAYTCCACAAGAAGCCTGCATAAAGCACTGGCTTTAGAGGGATTGAGAGATTGGTATCTGAGGAATGCTTTCGGCTACCCTTCTGCTGCCTCAAAGGGCCAGGAGGCAGGAATCTCCTGTCTCTCACACCCGCATCCCCTGGTGCACCAAGCCCAGTCTCTTCAAGGTGAAGCAGCCAACCCCCAGAGGCCTCAGATCCCTCAGTCAGCCAGCTTCCATGGACACCCACTACATGGACGGTCAGTATACCTCCTGTATTTGGTTGGGAGCTACAATTCACGTTCGTCTGTTAAATTAAGTTTTAATAGAACAAAACCTACAAGATTTTCATCAACAACATTCATATTTAGGTTAAAAGCTATGAGTTCTACCTGTTGTCACTTTCTTTCTTATGACAGTAGGTTAACTTTAACTCAGGAACAATGGCTTTTGTAATTTGTTTTCCTCAATTCAAGTTTCTATAACAGGCATTAGATGCTTTTTGTGGGGAGTTGATTTAAATGTTTTGTTTGTTTAGAAAGCTAATATCCGTTACATGTTTCAGGGCTGTGTACAGATGCATTTCCCCTGTTTCTTTGTTTGTGCTGATATCTGTTAGTGTTTTACAGTAAAGCTCCCACCTGGGGATATGCTCACTCTGTACCCTACAAATCCATCACCCTCCCTTTACAACTGCGGCTATTTTTATTATTTTATTTTGCATGGTCAGCATCGTCTTACCACAGGCCTGCCAACATCCAGGCTGTCTGTTTAAAAGTCCACAGTCAGGAGGCTTCTGTACCCTGAATGTGATTGCCTACAGGGCTAAAAGAAACATTTGATTAAAAGGTTATGCAGTGATTTTGACAACCCATCAAGTAAATCTTMAGTCCTGTTGTTGCTGTGGACGTGGTTGAGACTTTTCATGTTGGTTCCCTTTCGTGGCTAATGGCAAACCTTCTGTTTTAAAATAATTAAAACTAGAAAAATTGCATTTCCTGCGCAAATGCTAGTGTGAATTTGTCATGCTGAAAACTTAAGCTCAAAGCTGATGAAACTGAGCTGAAAATATTTAATAAGAAAAGTGTTAATGTGAGCTCACTTTGAAAAGCTGAAAAAAGCAAAAATGTCTAACTTAGCAGAAAAAACAGTAAAAAGGAGCACAAATCTAGTTGAAAACAACTAAAAGCTAAGAGTTAAAATAGCTGAATATAGCTGAAAATATCTGTAAAAAGTATAAATAGAAATTGGTAGCAGAAAAAAGGCAGAAAAAGTAGAAAAAGCAGAAGAATAGCAGAAAGAAGCAGATCTTTAGCTAAAGTAGCATAAAATAGATAAATTAGCATAAAATAAGGTAAAGGTAGCAGCCACAATTTGAAATTAACACCTAGTTGAAATAGTTACAGTTGAAAAATAGTTAAAATAAAAAAAAAATCTGAAAAAACAAAACAAAACATAAAATTACATAAAAGTGATAATTTGTAGTAAAAATTTTGACCAGTAGTAATTTTTGGACCACAATGGAAAAAAATGATTCTCACTTTCTTGTGTTATCCAAGTACTAATAATGAATGTACTAGATGTGTATGTACATGCAGTATTGTTACTAAATAAAATCAATCAATCAAAATAACTAAAACAGCTGAAAATTTCAGAAAACAGCTAAAGAGTAGCTGGAAATTATTTAATTAGCATAAGGAAGCTTAAGGAGCAGAAGTTTGCTGAACTTGGCTGAAAAAAGTTGTATTAGCTACAAAACTGAGTATTTAACCTAAAAAAGTTAAAATTTAACTAACAGCTGAACATTAGCCATAATTGCAGCAAATAGCTGAATATAGCAGAACATGTCTTCTCCACTTTTCAGTAAATACTGCAKCCTGCTCAGCTGTCCTTCAGACGTCTCCTGGATGCAAAGCGAGAAGCGTTTGTTCTCATGTTTGCTTGACAAGGACGGGAGGAGGGTGAATCTGATCGAGGTTCTGCACCGATGTCTCTTCACCTGCATCCTCTCGTGCTGCTGAATGGTGTTTTCTTCTCCACATGAGGCGGAAACTGATGGTGGAGGCCCAGAAACATCTGATATACAGGAAATAAAGAGTTTATATAAAACTGCTAGAGTGAGCTCTGTCTGTCTCATCCACTGTTGGCATCTGTGACAACATGGAGGAATAATGGAGACCAGGGTGACATCAGTCATCATAGCAACTATTAGAATAACAGCAAGCCCAACTGGATCTGTGTCGCACATTATCTGTAATAATTTTACAATAAATTAATATGATTGTTAATTGTGTTAATTTCATTCAAACTTAAAACAGCAGATGATATATGAGGAAAATATTAACAATAATCTAAACCAGACCTGAAGTCAGTCAATAACTTCATAATTATGACTTCAACTATAGTAATAAATTATATTATCTGTTGTAAACAATAGAAAAATATTTACCAATCAATACCTAGAAAATGAACTCTGCATACCTGGTTATACAGTCATATGAAAAGGTTTGGGGACACTTTTTCATTTTCCTGATTTACCTTTATAAATCATTGATTGTTTGGATAAAAAAATCAGTTAAATATATAGGAGAAAAACACAGTGATATTTGAGAAGTGAAATGAAGTTTGTATGATTTACAGAAAGTGTGCAATAATTGGTTAAACAAAATTAGGCAGGTGCATAAATTTGGGCACCAWAAAAAWMCTTWACTCAATATTTAGTAGCTCCTCCTTTCACAGAAATAACAGCCTCTAAACACTTCCTACAGCTTTTAATGAGAGTCTGGATTGTGGCTGAAGGTATTTTAGACCATTCTTCTTTACAAAACATCTCTAGTTCATTCAGGTTTGATGGTTTCTGAGCATGGACAGCTCTCTTTAAGTGACACCACAGATTTTCAATAATATTCAGGTCTGAGGAATGAGAWGGTCATTCCAGAACGTTGTACTTGTTCCTCTGCATGAAGGCCTCAGTAGATTTTGAGCAGTGTTTAGGGTGGTTGTCTTGTTGGAAGATCCAGCCCCGGCTTCAGCATCTTCAACTTTGTCACTGATTCCTGGACATTGGTCTCCAGAATCTGCTGATATTGGTTGGAATCCATGCGTCCCTCAACTTTAACAAGATTCCCAGTCCCTGTACTGGCCACACAGCCCCACAGCATGATGGAACCACCACCAGGTTTTACTGAAGGTAGCAGGTGTTGTTCTTGGAGAGCTGTGTTATTTTTCCTCCATGCATAACGGACCTTGTTCTGCCCAAAAAACTCTGTTTTAGTTTCATCAGTCCACAGCACCTTATTCCAAAATGAAGCTGGCTTGTCCAAATGTGCTTTAGCATACCTCAAGCTGCTCTGTTTGTGATGTGGGCGGAGAAAAGTCTTCCTCTGCATCACTCTCCCATACAGCATCTCCTTGTGTAAAGTGTGCTGAATAGTTGAACGATGCACAGTGACTCCATCAGCAGCAAGATGATGTTGTAGGTCTTTGGTGCTGGTCTGTGGGTTGACTCTGACTGTTCTCAACATCCTTCACTTCTGTTTATTCCAGATTTGTCTTGGTCTGCCACTTCGATCCTTGACATGAACTGTGCCTGTGGTCCTCCATTTTCTCACAATGTTTCTCACAGTGGAGACTGAAAGCTGAAATCTCTGAGATAGCTTTCTGTATCCTTCCCCTAAACCATGACGGTGAACAATCTTTGTTTTCAGCTCATTTGAAAGTTTTTTTGAGACTCCCTTGCAGCCACTCTTCAGAGAAGATGCAAAGGAGGAAAAACTTACTATTGCCCCCCTTAAAAACCCTTTCTCATAATTGGAGTCACCTATGTATTGAGGTCAAGAGTCACTGAACTTAACAAACCAAATTTGAGTTCCAATAATTAGTTCTAAAGGTTTTGAAATCAATAAAATGAAAACGGAGCCCAAATTTATTCACCTAATTTTGTTTAACCAATTATTGCACACTTTCTGTAAATCATATAAACTTCATTTCACTTCTCAATCACTGTGTTTGTCCCCTATATGATATATTTAACTGATTTTCTTTTCCAAACAATCATTGATTTATAAAGGTAAATCAGGAAAATTAACAAGGCTGCCCAAACTTTTTCATATGACTGTAGCTTGTAATATTTAATAATTTGTGATAAATTGCAGAGCTACAGAAGCTAATATCTTCTAACCAATTCAATAATTACATCTGCTTTATAAGGTTATTTTATTTACATTATTAGCTTCAGTTCTGATCAGATCACATCCACATTGATCTGATTACTTAAGAAATGAGACACATTTCCCAGTTATCTTCTGCTATTAAATCCATAAAACACGCAGTTTTCTGGCACAAAACATTAACTAGCTTATAGAGTACACTATAATTAATTAATATTTTTGTTATTATTATCATTAGTGTTTAGATGTTTTACTTAATCAGCCCTTATTGTTCGCTCTTTTGCTGGTTTTTAGAGAAGCAGGTCTAAGCAGTCACTAAAAAGGAGTTTCTAGTTTTTTTGGTGGAGTTTGTCAGAGACGTGACTGGTCTGTTTGACTTCAGTTTGTTAAAGCCGTGATTGGTTGGACTGACTATTTTGTGGGGGGTTTGAAGAAGCTGGGGGCAGCTGGGAATAGCTTGGTCGAAACAGCCTAGAAACACCTATGTTTTAATTGAAAGATTAATCAAAACTAGAGACAGGAAGGTGCTAGCTGCACAATATCTGGTCAATAAATTATGTTTACATGTTTACAATAATTTTTATTTGAGTCATTGTTCTGTTTAGCCCCACAGCTGCTAGTAGATCACACGGTCACRTGGTCAGGACTCACTGCAGTKGTTCTATAGATCTCCTTGAAAATTCTGCAGAGCACAGCAAGACTATGGAAACAACCAAGTGCAGATGTGATATTATGGTAGCTTCATCCTGAAAGAGCCCAGAAAGTGCTGATTGTGAGCATATGTGTGAAGGACACATTGGTGATGGAGAGCACAGCTGGGGTTATCTTCCCCAACATGACGAAAACCAATGTTGTTTCAACTGTGATGGTCTTTGTTTAGGAATGCTGTGTTGAATTCCTGTCTTCACCTCTCCGACAGGTCGATGGAGTTTTCACTTTATCAGGAGACTCCAGACCCACAGAAGCAAGAGGTGACTCCCAGCGAARCCAGTGCGGACCCAGGCACGCTGGTCTGAAGCAGCAGACCGCACCCACACGTACAACCACACGCTGCGATGGATGAGTAGAAACACTGTAGCATCGTGCAGACTTGATTCTGTGCAAGTTGATGTAATGTGACCTCAGCAACTAAGCAAAACACAACAACCTCAGTCAAACTAAACCTAAATGTAGCTGTGTGCTGTACAGTTTGAAAAAAGCCTCGGAGGTTTCCGTGTGTTAGATCCGAGTCCAACAGTGAACTTTAAAAACCAGTGTTCCCATATGGATGTGCACTGGTGCTGACATGTGGAGCATCTGATACCAGTATAGTCATGTTCTATTGTTCTTTGTATATAAACACTTTTGGTCCAATGCAAGCAGTAAGGTCCTTCCTAACAGCCCTGAAAAGTTTCCCAACATATAATTTTTTTACAGAATATATACAACTTTAAATTACTATTTTGTATCTTCTGGTATATAGAGAAAAGTTATATTAAAAGGGGTAATTTATTGGTCTTTACCTGTGTGACAAACAGAATCATTATCACTGTTCACTCGACTACTAGTATTGTTACATACCATTGAATGTTCATTTTTAAACTGTAAAAAGAAGCAGAAACGTGCCGTTGTTTAACCTCCATCAATTTTACATCCTTGATTTTTTTATTCTACATTTAATAAAATGAGAAGGGCCAGGGAATGTAGCATAGCAGTATGCAGGTGGGAGTGCCTAAATGTTTTACTTGTTTAACTAAATTGTTGGTATAAAACTTTAAAGTGTGAATATTAATGGCATAGTTTTGGTTTTGTGGGGTTCTGCACAGTAGTTATCAGAAGTTAGTTTGTGGTAAATAGAAGTCTTWGCAAACTGAGTTAGTAGAAATTGGGTTAAATTCTAATAATAGGGTCAGAATAATGTTTAATCAGATTAGAAACTTCCTTCTTTTTGCAGATTTCAGATGGAAATAAATGAGAAGTTCCAGCTGATCAGGAAGAAGGGTCCTCGTTAATTTATAGCTTCACCACTTCATACCCTCAACTTGTGCTTAGTGGTTGACATTTTGTTCTCAGGATCCATTTCGTACCTGACAGGTGTCATTTTGTACACATGTGTTTGTGTGCCTGTGTATTTCTGTGTCCTTTTTTAGGGATTAAGTAAAGGTGGAGCCAGATGTCAGAGGTTGAAAATAGGGGTTAGTGAACATTTGGGGATTTAGCGAACATCAGCCAACCATTAAATTTTAAATGGTATTTAAACTAATACTCCAAAAAATCATCAATATTAAGGACRGGCATGAAGTTGGCCAAGAGATCCGTGTCAGTTGGTTTCTTTTTTGTACCCACAAAAGTATAAATGTGTAGTGGCCAAAGCTGCAAAACTGTGCAAAGTTGTAAAAACACAAAACTCTTAAACTGAGGTCTGCTGGGTTGTTTTGACCCAAAGGCAGCAGGAGGGTAAAGGCCCTGCCACACTAGACAACTTAAATGCCAACTTATGAAACATTTCTTATGTCTAAATTACTTATATA